ACAATGCTCAAAATCATCAACCACACATAATTCGACAATAAGTACATGAAGTGCATGACCATAAACATGGAGAAGAAAATAACACAATATACCACAACCCAGAAAGACCATAACTAAGGCGCAATCAACCACTCCACACTTCAATCTCCATTTCTCTCGGATTCCGCAATAAGGCCCAAACAGAACCGCACTATGTGTGCGTATAACCAAGGAATCACCACCCCTCGTAGAATATGAGAGTAACATATAGAAAATATCAAAACACGAAGAAGCTCAACTCTAACCTAATGACATACCTCTAAACACTAACAGTTCTGAGTCACCAAATTCGACTCGGTGTTAAATACACATCCTCTTCGAGCCTTCCAATGGACCCCAAAATCAACTCCTCTCATCCCCAAATGGATAAATAGCACTACAAAAGCCCACAATGATCTAGCCATGACATGTACCACCATCTAGCTAACTTTGGCCACATCTTCATATTCCGCAACCCTGAAACAATCTGCTTCTCAGAACTCCCAGTCTCGAAATCTATAGAACACATGAATCACCATAGCCGAGCCCAACTCTACCACTCGGATGACTAACACATCTTCCATACATAATCATCCACATGTGAAATATTTCTATAATTTTTCCATGCCTCATAGCAAAATCTAAACATCAGCAGTCGATTAACTAGGCGAGTATCGCATTACCAAGTAGTAATAGCATTCATCTAGTCATCTAAAACCGTCCATGTTGTCTAAGAATCCATGACCTTTCCTTCAAGATTGAACTGTGACTTTGCACATGCAAATCCTAATCCCACTTGACACGCCGCATCTATCATGCCATCATATGAAAACATGAGAACCTCATTATCAACCATGGATCACAAGCAAATTACATACTCGATTAGCAAGAAACCTTCCACTTGATCCCATCTAGGAGAAAATCATAACGCACCACATAAATCCCATACCTATAGATAAATTCATCTCAAGTTATGAAAGAAATCATCGAGAACACTTAGAAACTCATTTGCACATAACCAAGCCATTAGAAATAAACACCTGTAGAAATTCATCTCTAAGTGCACTCATTTGCACTTAGAATCTCTCTAACTCAACCAAGCCACGCAGGTCGCCAATCCCAAGAGTATTTTCCCAAAACACCTGTAGAAACTCACACGTCATAAGTGCCCAAAAAAACTGATCATTAACCCTTACTGTGTTGATCCAATCTACTACCAAGCTGTCATATTTCTCTGAGTTCATTCCGAATTACCATCAAGTTGACACTTCTTTGCTAAAACACTATGATCCTTACCCAAAACTCACCACAAGAGATCCTAGCATAAACCCACACTGCCCTAAGGCCCATAAGCCGTTGTATTCCATCTTAAGCACCCCAAAAGTACCATAACCGAGACACCAACTCTGAAGAGGCCTTATGTAAATCTAAAATTGTTTCCTTTACCTTCCAGATACTAAAATGTAGAATCCATAATGATATAGAAATACCGCGGGTCTCGACACCATCCAATGCAAATCTTAAATTCTAGCCATATACAAATCCGAAAAATTCTGAATTGCAACATATAAATGTTGAATCTATTAGAACCTTCTCGAGAGTCATACATTCTGCTCGAATTTAAATTTCACCGCCCAAACGGGCCGAATGACTTGTGCCCTATTAGCATGACAATACCCAAATAAGTAACCCCGCCTTAATGCAACCGAGTAAATTCCTACTCCATGCACACTACATCTTTCACGAATAACAACTCAAATCATTTCATGATTTCCATATACCCATAATGTGTAATATACCATACATCTAGAAATTTTCTTGTTTTAGTAATCCTCAAAACCAACCTCTGCAAGTCATAACCGATCTACATGTATGCCTCAAAACGAAACCAATACAACACGTAACCAAGCAATCAAATTGTCGATTGCAGACTCCCCCACTTAGCTCAAAGACATAGATCAAAACACTCGATAACTCACAATGCACATAATTTATTACTTCCTTAATATCGTAGTGAGATACAATTAAATATTTCATAAGCTCGTATAACACAAACCATATAGTACCTCAAATCATCTGATAAGCTTGCATTCATCCTCGTGACAGTCATATCAACTTTCTCAACTAATCCAAACTCGAATCGCAATACCTATTCCTACTGGAAGAAAAGAAAGCCTCCACACAACATCATAAGGATCAAACATCCGTAGATTACACCGCCAATGATAACCCACCTGCTTAGCCACAAAATGACATCTCTCTATAACCTTTCATAGCCACAATTACTACGTAACCACTTAATATCCTGAGTCTGAACTCAACAAAAAGACATGAAAATCTACTTTGTTCCACAAATGAAATAACACGAAAGAATCTCTCAAAAACCTTCATAATTGAAGACTGTATGACACATCCACATAAATCGAGCATCCAATTGTCCTTTTCACATCTCAAGCAAATTCTTCATGTTACATTCAAACCATCTGAACACATCCTGCAGTCACATCCTACTCATCATATAGCCATCCAACCACTCACTGAGCCACTAGTTCCACTCATAGGGACACCACTAGACATAGAAATCATAAAGCACATGCTCGCACAACTGAAACTACCGATCCTAAGCTATGGTCCTAACCGGGACTCAAGTCCTCCAGACTGCCCCATCACCAACACACAGAAAACACATCTCGTGCGTGGTCCATTAAATCACAAGTCGTCGACGAACAGCTGAACCGAGCACTCACATAGCATACGCGTGAGTGGAAGGAAATTCAGAGAGATACGCTTTAAGCTGAATCGATGTCGCACGATAAGGAAAGAAATATGGTAAGTTTATCCTATGCCTTGTAGCCTCTCGAAGATAGGTATGGACGTCATCATACCGATCCGCAAGACTCTACTAGACACTGGCTCATGACTCGTAGAACTTATGAACCTAGAGCTCTGATATCAACTTGTCACTACCGAAAATCGAACTAGTCGCGATGGCACCTAACTCAACCCGCTAGGTAAGCCAATTAATAATATTCCAATTCAAATGAGATTTACTGAGAAAATAAGTGATGAAATAACTGAACTTTTATACAAAAATCCCAAGGATTGATATTATCAACCTAGTCATAATTCAAGAATCAACCGAGTAATAATTCAAACGGTGCACACCCACATGCCCGTCACCTAGCGTGTGCGTCACCTCAGCACAAAACACATAATATGAATAATCAGGGTTCATACCCTCGGCACCAAGTTTAGAAGTGCTACTTACCTCGAACACGCTAATTCCAATACCGAGCAAGCCAAATAATACTCTAAAAATGCCATCCTGTGCGTATCGACCTCTGAACGGCTCAAAACTAGCCAAAAACAACTCAAGAACATCAAATAATGCCAAAGAAAACAAATCCAATCGATAAAGGCGTAATCTTTAGTCAAAAAGCCCAAAGTCAACAAGCAGGTCAAACCCGAGCTTGCACCTCAGAATCTAACAAAACATGCTAAATCCAATAATCCATTCAATTACGAGTCCAACCATACTAGTTTCACTCAAATCTGACTCCGAATCGATATTCAGAACTTAAAAATTTGCTTCATGAAATTATAGACAAAAGCCCCAAAATTTCACTTTGAAATCATCAATCAAATACCAAATACGAAAATGGATTCATGAAATATGATCAAAACCAAGTATAGAACACTTATCCCAATCCATGTGTTGAAAATCTCCCAAATCCGAGCTCCCCAACTCAAAATATGACCAAATGAACAAACCCTCGATATTATATGCTTTTGCCAGCTGTTCTACCTCGTTTCTTGTACCAAATGATCCCAAAAATTTCTTTTGATGACTACAATGGATTCCTTGTGAAATTCCATTTAAGTTAGACTTTTGAATCAGTCCATTTGACCTTATAAACAAGGAGATATGTTGGTTTTAATATTTGAAAATAGTGCAGATTTTTAAATACGAATTCAGTGGTAATTTTGTAATTAATCTGAAAAATCAGGCAACCCAATTCTTAGTAAAATGACAATAAATTCCTCATACGATGTCAAATCTTGATAATTTTTAATTGCTATGGTTCCAAAATTATGACACGGATATAATAATTTAGTCGAAACACAAATCAAAGGCCGTTTGCTTAATATGGTAACCTTTATGCTCAATTCGATGTTGAAACCGAAAACAATCACCATACAACCTAAACTTATCCAAAACTCATAGGAATTTAACTAAACTTTGTGGACATGTCCAAAATCATCATACAAATTTATTGGAATAATTAAAATACGATTCCGAGTCCGTTTACCCAAAAGTCAAATATTGGTCAACTCTTCCAACTTAAACCTTCTAAAACGAGAATCATTCTTCCAAATCAATCCCGAATTGATCAAAAACCAAAATCAAGAATACATGCAACTCTTAATATATAATATGAAGCTACTCAAAGTCTCAAACCACCGAATAAAATGCTAAATCTCAACACGACAGGTCGGGTCATTACAATAGGACTTAGACTAGGTTCATGGAAGTGGATGTTTATTTCTTCTTGGTTTAATGCTTAAGGTTTGTGGTCTATTCTAAATCTTGTTAAAAGCCTACTTGTTTTTGAATAAGAGGTTGTATATGTTTTTTGAAAAAGAGAGCATGGGTTTTGTAAAATATTTGTAATTTGTAAAAGGGTCTTGTAAAATATTTACATCCACAAAAGACTTGTAAAAATGTGTTTATGTTTCTAGGATTTTTTTTTAAAAATGATATGTATATCTTAAAATAAAAATGTCATGAGAATACCTTTGGAGGATTAATTTCAAAACGGACTTGTCCTTTTAAAATTCGTTAATCGCAAGTTACCAGTCACGTTTGGTTTGATTTGTTGGAAGAATCGTTTTGAAATATTCCCTTAAGTTCTATTTTCAAAGAGGAGTCATTTCATTTTAAAATATATTCAATATCAAAGAATTTGTATAAGAGTTAGTAATAAATAAAGAACAAGACCTTTTATTATTAGTAAGTGCTTGATATACTCTATTGAATATGGTAAGTAAATTCAGATTATCATTTTATTTACCTATGAGCTTGGTTTTGCCTAGGTTCCTAAAAATGATTAAAGCACAAATGGAACACTCAATGTTAGTGTTAGTATCTTAACATATACAATATGAGGCAGAGGGAGTGTAGGCCCACCAGACTTCAAAATGCAGCATCGGCATATTTCAGCAATGTGGACCGTAGGCTGGAACTTGGGATTGAGTTTTAAAGAAAATCAGAAGGCCCAAATTCGAACATGCATACAGAGATATAGAAAAACATTAGTGATGCTACATAAGGCAAAATAAATAAGTTGTAAGATACAAATGTGATTTAAAGAATAGTAAAGCTAATACAAGGTTAAGCTAAATAAAGCTATAACAAATGATCATTATTAAGGTTCAAACCAACTTTCACTTATATTTAATCCTAGGAAGATTAATGAAAGTCAATGATTAAGAGCTTAAGATAAGACCTTATTTATGAACAAGGTACCCTTGGAATCCCGGGCACTTCAGAGTTCACAAGGGTCTCAAGGACCCCGAGCAGTGCTTGTGTCACGGAAGGGCGCCTTAATAATAAACTATGTCCCACTCCAAATACCCTTAATCATTCACACCTACTCTTCCCCCGGAGGTTTAGATTCAAATGAGGTCTTAACAGTCAACATGAAAGAAGAAATAGGCACACAAGTTCAAGTACACAAGAAGTCCATAAGACACATGGATATCATCAAAATGCATAAACGTGAACACTTTAGGAATTACACCATTAGCATTAGAATTAGAGCCCAGAAGGTAAAGGTTAGGTGTTTCATGTACTAACAATGTCACGAGACATTAAGCATTCATGTATAACATGTATTAGAACACTCGAGGAAAGTGACCACAACTGCATAACAGGGAGTGTTTTAGAGCAAACGACAATAGACTACTACAAGCTTAAAATGCTGGGTGAAGTTATCTTAAGGGGGAGCGAGGATGATATGCATGCTAACTTGACTGATTATGATAGTAGGTCCTTAATTAAGTTCATAATGCATTAACAACCATTTCAATTGCACTCAGAATAGTCCAAAATTCGCTCAGACATGTAGAATCCTTACTACATTGAGTGTCTATGTTAATCAACCCTAATCAGATTCCCTAGAGACGACAACAAACAACAAAAGTACTCTCATATTATCAATTGTAATCTAACTTAGACATAACAATATGGTTTCTAGTTTATCATGTTCCCAGTCAATGTTCAAACACACAGTTAAACCTTTACAACCAATAATGTCAACTGAGTAGAGAAAAACATTCCTTTAGACCATACAAATAAGGATTAGTGAGTTTCCTTGAGTCCATATTTGATAACAAATAACCTACACTCCAAATTCCTATATAATTTAGGTTGTCAAGTCATTACTGCAAGCAAAGTTCAACTTATCCTTCTATGAAGCAGTTTTAAATGAAAAGTGTAGTATCTTGGACATGATTCTCACATAAGGAGCAAACAAGAAGTTCAGAAGTGCGACTAGGCTTACATATAATCATAAGGCCTAACCGAGGACATCCAAACTTATACACAATGATGTATTAACATAATTACAATGTTACAAGACATAATTGAAGAACGGGTATCCTAATAACTGAACTGGTGAGTCAGACTATGATAACAAACTTGCATTGGATCCTTAAGTGTGCAAAACTAATCACCGTTCCAACATTATCGAGGTATACATGTTAAGCATATGTCATGGATCAATAGATGATATGACATTATTAACACCTGAAGTGATGTTATGTAGATGCGGTAGACACAAGTTCTCAGCAAGACAGAAAATAAGCTTAAGGTTATAGTTTAATCAGGTAGGCTAAGCATGAAAGAATGATTTAAGCATAATACCTCAAGCATTAGTCTTTCTTAAAAGACAAGATAAACAAGAAGTTCATGAAAAAATACTTAAGTGCAGAAGCTAACAAGAGATACTCAAACATGCATACAGGGATACTTCTAAAGGTGACAAGATTACTGAATATATCAGGTGAGCAGATGATCTAAAAACCAGGCTAGTGAGTTCATTACAAAATCCAAATCACAGGAACATATGAGCTTTAAATGTATAGGGTAAACATGATTTCAGTAGCAGATAAATCAGCCTAAGCAAGCAAGTTAAGTGGGCATGACATAGATACCATGATGAAGATCAGTTTAGATGTATTAACAAATAATAGTATTAGTAACCCAAGAACCAACATAGAAAGTATGTAGCAGACATAAACATGACATCAAACGGTCAAGGATACAACTTGGGTTAGGCTAACAAACATAATAGTAAATTTGATAAGCACTCATAGGATTATCATAATCTCTTAACTACTGCAGAAGTTTAATAGGACATAAGTTATTCATTTTAGGAAAACATTTATCTGGTGAAGTTCATACATTAATACAGAATAACCAGTTAACATTGAACAATCAAACATTATAAAGAATCAATTAGTTCCAATAATGAGGGCAATGCATTAGGTCAAGACACGATAATCAGTTACAAGCTAATAACATATGTCATAGACAAAAGTAATCAACAGAAGCAAGAATGGTAAGCAAAAAAACACGAATAGTCAATGATAGGGAGGGTCAGGTACACTAACCTTCTGTGGAGTAGCAAACCAAACAAAATCCCTTTTTGTTTAGCCATTTAAAGAGTCAAAATTCAAACTCGAAGAGTAGAGATCTCAGAACAGGAGAGGAAGAAAAACTGAAAATTAGTGAGAAGAATTCGAAGCCTTTAATTCTCTTAGGTGTTAGGTGATATTCAATTTTGTGTTGGTTGTTCTCTCAGGTGAGAGCAATTAAGGCTCCAATTTATAGTGGCATTCAATGCCTAGGATTTTTAACATATTTGAATTTTGAGTGGAAGATGATGATGGGGCTGATGACGATTGATAGGGGGTAAAATCGGTGAAGAACAAACGGAAAAGCACGAAAAGATTTACCTGGGCATGAGGAATGCATTTGACCTCTGGACACGAATAATGATGATGGAGTCGGAGACAATGGCCATGCATGCCATGGATTTGATAGATCATAGCAGATATTCAGATAATTTGAGATATCACTTTAGGTCTAAGGTTTTCGGATTTGGGATTTTTGAATTTATCGGTGGTAATGGAAATAGCTTGCTGGATTCACAGATTATAGTGACAAGATGGATGATTTCGTGGTTGATTCAAGTGACCTTGACCAAATTTGTGCAAGGATTCAGACTGGTGAGGTTTGATAGGTTTGAGAGAAAAGAGAGGCAAAGGGGAAAGTAGGGGTGACCGAATTTGTGTAATTGAATTAGGGTTTAGGTCTTAGGTGGGTTTAAAGTGGGAAATGGAATGTGAGCCGTTGGAATACCTAATGTTTCTCTCATATTTTATAAATTATTCCATATACTTTCAAAATATTATTTTTGCGTTATTACCCAACTCATAGTGGTCATAAAAGAATTTTCCATAATTCTTAAATTTTTAAAATTAATTTTCTTGCATTTAAATTATTCAAATATTTATTAATTATCCCTTCAAATTATTTTGGGGTAATTTAATCATCCTAATTTATTATTTGTACCCGCATGTATGTTTTATGAATGACCCGGGTTATTATTTGTACCAAAATACCCCCACACCTTAGCCCAATAACCCCCAGCCTAAACAAAACGACCCTCTTTAAATGACCCGGCCGAGACTCATTAAACGACCTACCCCGCCTATTCTTTAATCCTGGTTGTTGATCTCTCAAGATCAACGGCCCGCGGCCAACCCACCCGCTTTAATTAACCAAACCCTTTAAATCATAACCCATTTCCCCTAAGCTTTCGCCCCCAAACACTCTCAATCCTCCTCTTCTCTCTTCTGTGAAACCCTAGCAGCTACCACCTTTAATCTTCTCTAATTCCGACCTTAATATGGAATTATTCTACGATTCTCTTACCTTATGTGCTATGTCTCGTTGTTACTTACATGATTATAGTATTACTTAGTACTTCCCTATATTTTGGCAAGTACCTGGCTCCGAATCAAGAGAAACCAGCTTCATTCATATTTCTTTTGTATGCATTCATAGCTAGTCTATATGTGTATGATTTACCAAGATCTTCGGCCAATCTTTGATTCCTGTCAAACTAGGGTTTGTCTGAGTTTTCTCCTAATCCGATTCAAAATTGATTTCCATGCTATTCTTTCCATTATTGTGTTTGATTGACTATTTTCCTTGTCTGTTTGTTTAAATTTAACTACTATATTAACCCCTCCCCTAATTCGCCAAAACTCAGCTAATTATTATTATTATCTCACTCTCATTCGCTATACATCATTCTTAAACTCTAAATTTTTGCTGACTGAAAGCCAACGCCACTGTAATCCACTCTATTGACTTTCTCAGAGCGAGCAGTGCTCGAGGCTCGTCTGAAGCTCATGTGAACTTTGACGCACTAGGGTTTAGGGTCCTGTTGTTCTCTTTGCTACTGATACTCGAGTTGTTACTGGCACTTGGTTTTCTCCTTCATTTGCCTGTTAAATCTACAAAATGGTGAGTGTTTATACTTTTGCAATTCAATTCTCTCCATGTGTGTATTTATGCTTCTGTACATTTGTGTTACTTGAACTTTTGTGAACCAATATGACATTATGTCGACCTTGGCCTTGAAATTCCTCTTTAACTCTGCATTTTTATCTGAACCTGTATAATTTTATATATGTTTATCTTGTGTATTCAATTTGGAAAACTTCTGACTTTTTAGCCCTTTTAGACCATAATGTTTATGTGTGATCGAGTTTCTATATTGGATTATTGTTATTAGTCCTCTCTCATACTTAGCTTTGGGTTCTTGTACTAAAACACCTATTGAATTTATGCCTGCCCAGAATTTGGGTTAATGAATCTCTTTATGTTGAATACTTTGTGTAATTTACTATTTCCCTACAAATTGATCCCTGGCCATATGAATCCCATGTTACAATAATGTCTTAATGTCTTGACAAACATGTTTCTTTACTATTTGTAACTCTGATGATTGTACTTCTTGACTTGTTAATCATGTACTCTTTAGCATTGCCTAAGACTTCTAGGGTGAATTTCAATGTTTAGCTTTTTCTCTTATGTATGGTCAACTGGCATGAGTCCTGAAGTCTCTCTATCCTGTTATCCTAGAGTTGATGTGTTCTTTTACCTACCATGAGTTCTTTGGAATCTCTTTGCCATGACCAATGCGCAGCATGTTAAGTCTCACGTTTAACTCAGTGTTATGCTGTTTGTAACTACATTGTCATTAGGCTCTCATGTTAGAACCTTCATGTGAATGATGTACTCCACCTGCTTCTTGTATATGATTCTACTAGACTGTCATCTAAAGTTCTTTAGGTTGGTTCTGAATCATGCTTTACTCTTTGGAATGGTTTACTAACCTATGATGGTCGATCCTATCACCATCAAACTTTGTTTCTGGAATTACAAAGCATAAACTTGCCTCATATGTGTCTTGTGTATCTTTAAATTTAGCATGATCCTATTTATATTTCTTGACTAGAGCCGTTGATGGCTGCGGCTCTAAGAACTAAGTGTTTAAGAAGTTCTATTAGTATTTTGTAACCTGTATAGCTAAATTTGGCATCTATTTGCGTAAGTAAGTTATTCGTTGTCCTGTAATTGGGCCATGTGTGATGTTGGACCTGGGCACTATATTCAGGTGCACTCTAATTGTCTTGTGAGCCTATGATTTGGGCATGTTGTTTGTCTAGAGAGTAAGGCTATTGAATGCTTTGGGGATATCCATGGGTTACTTTTGTATTGTGCCTGTAATTGCTATAATGAGCTTGTATTTGTTTCAGTTTGTATTTAGTCATCTTCAATTAGGGATTAGTGAAATGGGAGAACTAGATATTTATCTCTTGCATGAATGGGTAGAAAACATTCCTATAGGATCCTAATTGTTTGGTTTGACATGTCTCATTCTGTGAAACTATCTGTGTACATTCTATTCACTTAGAAAACATGACTTAAGGCTAATATAATGACTTGTGATGTTAGATAGCATGCCTATAGGATCTGAAATTGGACTTCTGCACTTAGATGTTATGCCTATAGGAGTTCGATACAAACAACTGAAAATGCTTGCTTGGGCTACTTCTTTAAATTATGTGACTCACCTAGATACCATGATTGCAGGCTCTTAACTTGAGTAACCAAGCTGTTATTACCGCTATTTTCCTCTCCTCATACTGCCGCTTAGACAACATGCCTATAGGAATAAATAAAACAAGTGTATGTTATCAATTACCTTGTTGCCCGAATATTATTGTCTAGATATCATGCTTATAGGATATTACAACTCATTTAGAAATCATGTCCATAGGCTCAAAGACGAATAACTATGTGCTTTCGATGTTCTCACTGCCTAGTCGCAAGGCGCCTAGAGATCATGCCTATAGCGTCTTAATAAACCATGTATTAAAATCAGTAGCTTGGTTAAAACAGTATGCCCGGAAACACTGCTTGTAGGATTCTATGCCAACCCTTGAATCAATCAATCACATAAAAGTCATGACTATAGGTCTTGCACCATTCAATATGCTCCGATTTAAAATAGTCCCATCTACAACCGTTTACTTAATGATTTGGAACACTGTTAGCATGAGCTTATAACTGTTTGCGTGCATTTGTGTCTATGTGAGGAGGCCAATTTGAGCCCTTAATTGTTAACTATGTGCAGCCATAATTATTTTGATTGTGCACCTAGTTTTATCATTTTTGAGCATCCAAAGGGAAGTCTAGTACTACCAAAGTAGTAGGTCCAAAGCCTCCTAGACCATAGGCATGGGACGGGTAAGGCAAGCATAGGACACTCTTTAGAATTGAATTAGAGCGCCTTTAGGTAAACAACTTTAAGATAGTAATTGGGTAGCAGGAGATGATAGTGTGTGCCTGTTGAATAATATGAGCTACCCTTACCTTTAAAGGAGTTGCGAAGTATTATTTATGTTGCACGGGGTGATCCTTTAGGTTAAAAAACATATGACCCCTCCCCCCACATAGTGCATGCACCTATTTGTGCAAACTTAGGTCAAACTAGATATACCTTGTGACCCACGAAAGTTGTATCAATTATTTAGGACCCACTTCTTTCTCTTCAACACTTATTTGAATCCCTTGTTATAATATGATCACATATGATAATTGTAATTCAAATAATCCCCTCATAGCATAAAATTTGGTCGGGACCCACAGTTGTGGACTTCGAATAGTCCCTAACCCCTTCTCTTTAAGATAATTTGAGCCCTTACCCGATCTTTGATGATACAAACTAGTTAAAATAGAGTTATCTACAAATAGGTGCCCTAACGCACCTCAAACTATTCAGGTGGCGAGTCTTCTCTTTTAATACCCATTTAAAAGAGTTGTCACAAATCGAACCATACTTTTTCGCGAGAAAACGGGGCGCGACAGCTTGGCGACTCTGCTGGGGATATACTTAGGCTCTTACCAAAATGAATTTTTTCTTTGGTGGATTGTAGGATTATTTGACTTCTTTCATCCCTCTTCCTACTCCCCTTGTTGCTTGAAATTGCTATGTCATGTATTGCCCGACCCTATCTCCTCTATTTGCTTCATTTAATTATGATATCGAATTGTTTTGTAAACTATGCTAACTTCTGTCCTTTGTCTTTCCCTTTTCCCTTCTTTCTCTTGTTTATTTTTTATTGCATTATTTACTACCATTACGTTCTTTCACCATGCAAAATATCTGGCAATATGTTATT